AATTTATTTATATGATTTTGTACTTTTGAAGGTCTGAAATTCTGGACTTTTTATTTCTTTATTTTTCTAATTTTTTTTCCCCTAAGAATTTGTACTTAAGTATCTGTACCTAGGTACCTTTGTATCTAAGATGCCACTGTAAGTGGCGACTTGTAAACTTTTCACTGTACTCATGTGAGCACATGTGACAATAAAGCTAATTCAATTCATTCACATTTTTTCATCTTTGCTCCATCCCCACTGTATTTCCAGGCCTTCTGCACATGTTGAGTTTTAGGTCTTTCTCATTGACCCAAAAGTACCCTATACCAGACCTTTTTTCCAAGGCCTTCAGCTCCCCCATCACCCCCAAACACACCTTCAGGCAATTCAAAGCTCTTGAGGTCCTGACCAGTTTGTAGAATTTCTCCCTGCCAGATTTCAACCCATTTCTACCCTGAGTTCCAGTTAGACTTTTGAACCTGCTTCTGCACTACCTAAACAACAATACTATATTTCCCCACAACCCACCCGTGCAATATCCACACTTTCTCTCTCCAGTTCTAGACCTGAAAAATGGTTCCAGCAACAGGCTTTGATTTGATTTGATTTGATTTATTATTGTCACATGTACCTTAATAGAGTGAAAAGTTTTGTTTTGCATGCAGTACAGGCAGATCGTAACATACAAAAATCATAGGGTGACTGAATAAAGTGAGGAATACAAAATTACAGCTGCAACAAAGGTGCATAAAAGCAAGATCAAATTAGATCTTAAATTTGAGAGGTCCATTCAGGTGTCTAATAACAGTGGAAAAGATGCTGTTCTTGAACCTGTTGGTGTGTATATGGCTATGACAAGATGTATGCATACCTGCAAGTGAAATGTATAGGTGTCACTTGGTGGGAAAAGGTAAAGGAAATCTTTTGGTCTGGGTTGCTCTTTATGTACATGAGAATGATTGAAATGCTTTTTAATTTGACATTCCACCAACACACTCATGGATGCACTTCCATCTCTCATGGAAGAAAAAGTGGAGCAACCACAGCAGCAATATCTAATCAATGAGAAAAAGACTGAGCTATGTGCCCTTACCTTGATTGGAAAGAGGCCAGTGGCCATCATTGGAATGGCCATAGCCTCAATCATTGCAGGGTTGAAACCACTGAAGGTGAGAATATGCTCCAACCTAATCCATCTTCTCACATCCCACTTCCCTTTCATCCCACAATCTCTTCTGATTTATCAGCTGCAGATGATATAAGCATGAGCCTCTTACTCTTCTAATCCCTCACTGCAACCTTGCCCCTTAATACATGCCAATAATGAGCTGCAACCTGGTCAGGCAGTAATAAAGAAATGCAATGTCCAAGAGCATAAAGAGACTGTAGAGGATAAAGCACTCATTTGCTCTCAAATTCTCAGGCACTGGTTGAGATAGTGACACTCTGTGTACTTTGCAGGTTAGAATGGAGGGGTAATCTGCACATGACACACTACCAGGCATGAATATTTTACAGCCAGAGCTTGGGTGGGGGAGGGGGGAGCGGGTTACAGACTGCACAGATGCCAGTTTTACCACAGACTCCTAACACCTGGGCTAATGCCTTGGCCAAAATGGTGTCTGCTGTAAGTCAAACCAGTAGTATGAGCATCCAGTGTCTAATAATAGTCATATTGGTTACAAAAAGTTAACTTTTTTTCCCTCTCCTTTGATGAACCAATGCAGTGTCAGTGGACCATTCATTGATAGATGAGGTAACCATGACTGATCCTGTCCTTGCCTGATGTAGAGTCATAGAGATGTACAGCATGGAAACAGACCCTTCAGTCCACTTGTCCACGATGACCAGATATCCTAAATTAATCCAGCCCCATTTGCCAGCATTTGGCCCATATCACTCTAAACCCTTCCTATTCATATACCCATCCATGTGGCTTTTAAATGTTGTAATTGTACCAGGCTCCACCACTTCCTCTGGCAGCCCATTCCATACATGCACCACCCTCTGCGTGAAAAATTTGCCCCTTAAATCCCTTTTAAATCTTTCCTCTCTCACCGTAAACCTATGCCCTCTAGATTTGGACACCCCCACCCCAGGAAAACACCTTGTCTACTTACCCTATCCATGCCCCTCGTGATTTTATAAACCTCCATAAGGTCACACCTCAGCCTTTAATGCTGTAGGGACAATAGCCCCCAGCTTTTTCAGCCTCTCCCTATAGCTCAAATCCTCGATCGCTGGCAACATCCTTGTAAATCTTTTGAACCCTTTCAAGTTGCACACCATCCTTTCTATTGCAGGGTGACCAGAATTGCATAGAGTATTCCAAAAGTGGCCTAACTAATGTCCTGGACAGCTGCAACATGTTGTCCCAACTCCTATACTCAATGCATTGTCCAATAAAGGCAAGTATACCAAATGCCTTCTTCACTGTCCTATCTACCTGCGACTCTATTTTCAAGAAACTATGAACTTGCACTCAAAGGTCTCTTTGTTCAGCAATATTCAGGACCTTACCATGAAGTGTGTAAGGCTAAGAGTACTTTCTACACAGATACCAGGTGGAGTGTCAAATAGTAAGTATCTGCAGGTGACCAAGAGTGTTAGATGGTGTGAATAACAACAGCTGAATCACAAGCGAAGGGATGACCTACAATCTGATTAAATGAGGCAGAGAGATAATTACAAAAACCTAAAAATAAGGTAGTGCTGGAGACAAACTAAATGACTGGAATAACATGATTTGTATATGAGTCAAATGCTGAGGGTCTAACCAAAGTAATAATTAATCCAAAACAGTACAAATTAATTAAGGTAGAGACATTGTAACAATTTTTCAAGGTGATGGTGTCACGACAGAACAGTAAGGAAGGTTTACAGATACAGAAGTGTGTCGGGGTCACATGTAGCGCGACGTGAACCCAAGATCACGGTTGAGGCCATCTACATAGGCATGGAACTTATACAGTTTTGGATTACTTATTACATTGGTTAGACCCTCAGTATGCAACTCTTACATCTATCATGTTATTCCAGTCATTCAGTTACATCTATCATGTTATTCCAGTCATTCAGTTTGTCTCCAGCACCACCTTATTTTTAATGTTTTGTAATTATCTTTCTGCCTCATTTAATCAGATTGCAGGTCATCCCTTCACTTGTTATTCAGCTGCTGATATTTTACTCACACCATCTAACACTCTTGTTCACCTGCAGAGACTTATTATTGGACACTCTACTCATACCAGTTGTATGATCTTTTGATCTCTGTACCCTTGATCTCTCTGCCTATAAACTCTGTGTCTGTGTGGTCTCCTCTCACACTTCACCTGACGAAAGGGCAGTGTGCTGAAAGCTTATGATTTCAAATAAACCTGTTGAGCTATAACCTGGTATCGTGTAACTTCTGATTTTGTCCACACCCAGCCTACCACGGCACCTCAACGTCATCCTACGCACTAGGTGGTGCAATTACCATGTGGGCCTTGAGAGGGCGCTTTGTTCCAAAAATATAAAGGACTTCCATCTCCAACCGTGGTACAAGGCTTTAACAACATCATCTAGAACACTTGTAAAAAAGATGGAAACTGCAGGAATTTGTCACGGTGTAGAGTGAGTTAACCTCCAAGTTTAGTGCTGACGACGCCTCAGAGCGACGTGTTGTTTTTGTGCGCTAGGTTAACATTTTCATTGAAAGGAATTTTCCAAAGAAAGAACATCGCATTTTGTCTCTTTAAAAACATTTCTACTTGCCCCAAGATGGAAGTAACTTTACCTTCATCAGAAAAGTTTGCCATTAAAAGTGTTTGTATTTTGTCACTTGGCAAGGAAATGTATGTCAATTATTCACTGATAACCTCACTAAGAGTTATTGAAGTGGTAACTTAGGAAAAGACGGTTGTAGTCAGACAACTGACATGGGAAGCCTGCAGGAAGTTGTGTTTTGCGAAAGCGGCAACCCGCAGAACCAGTCATCAAGATAACGGGCGCAGGGTTTTATTCTGGGAGTTTTAATGTGAGTCAGCAAACACGTTGTATTAATCTAGATGAGGCAATAATTAATGACTGAACTCACGCAGGTTCCTTCTGAAAGGCATGTTTCATGCTGAGTTGTAACCCCCCCCCCTCCCCCCGAGACGGTGCACCTGGAGTTTATCACCAGACTAACATGTACGTTGCCGAACAGCCAGTTCTCAACACTCCCTGGATACATTGGCCGAGCTTCTAGTTCGTTAAAGAAAAGGACTGGTCCCGCTGAGCATGCACTCACGCTGGTGGAAGTGGGTGAAATGATGAAAGGGGGGTGGGCAGTATTTGTCTATATATCCATTCCCCTAGCCTTGATCCGCCTTTGCTGCAACTCACAGCGTGGTCGCTCCCTGTCAAACGTGCAACAGGACTCTGCCAGTAAAATCTAGAGAGAGAGAGTTTTAAATTCTTCGGAACGGAACTAGGAGAGCAAGTCACTGACAGCTGGCGCAGAAAGTTTCCCAGTTTCACAGCTGAAGTACAGGCGGGCCGGGGGCGGTGTGAGGAAATCCGTGTCAGCAATGGATGAAGAGAGGGGGCATGTTCCGATGTGAATTCTCCACATTCGGGTCTGATTTGGATGGACCGACCGCTGCCAGTGTGATGTTGGAGTTTCTTCTTTGTGTGTGTGTGTGCCGGGAGTCAAAGACGCTTCTTGAGAAACGTCGTCCTCACGTCATCGCAGGGGATGGTAAGGGGCTGAGCTATTTGAAATGCTGCGATTGCAGAGTCTCTCTCCATCTCTGTATGTGTATGTGTATGTGTGTGTGAGAGAGAGACAGAGAGGTGTGGAGACAGACTGCGAGAATTAAAAGTCAGGGAGGTGGGGTGGGGGTGGGGGCGGCTGATCAGGAAATGCCAGACGCTGCCCTGGCGGAGCTGTCAGATCACAGCGAGCGTCCTCAGCCGCCCCTGGACCAGGAACGAGACCGGCCCGGCTGAAGATGACCCTGATCGGCGAGGAGAATATCGACGAGTCGGTGGTGTTGACCGCGCTCTCTCAGGATAACCGCGAACCCGAGGAGCTGGGGCAGGAATGCTGCGAGAGGGCGTTCATCAACATCTCGGGGCTGCGCTTCGAGACACAGCTCAGGACCCTGGCCCAGTTCCCCAACACCTTACTCGGCAACCCGAGGAAGAGGATGCGCTACTTCGACCCCCTTCGGAACGAGTATTTCTTCGACAGGAATCGCCCCAGCTTCGACGCCATCCTGTACTTCTACCAGTCGGGCGGGAGGTTGAGGAGACCTGTTAACGTGCCCGTCGACATTTTCCTGGAGGAGATCAAATTTTATGAGATGGGCGATGAGGCCATCGACAATCTCCGGGAAGAGGAGGGTTTCATTAAAGAAGAGGAGCGAATTCTGCCCAGCAATGAGTACCAGCGTCAAGTTTGGCTGCTGTTCGAATACCCCGAGAGCTCGGGAGCTGCCAAAGGTATTGCCATCGTCTCCGTCCTTGTCATTCTCATCTCCATCATCATATTCTGCTTAGAGACCCTGCCTGAATTCAGAGAAGATTCCCGCCCGGACCTGATGAGATTTGCTACCAATGGCACGGAACCCTTGGGGGTGAAGTCGTTCACCGACCCGTTCTTCATCATCGAGACACTGTGCATCGTCTGGTTCTCTTTCGAACTGTTGGTGAGATTCTTCTCCTGCCCCAGCAAGCCGGGCTTTTTCAAGAACATCATGAACATCATCGACATAGTGGCCATCATCCCGTATTTCATCACCCTATTCACCGAGTTAGTGTACCACCAAAGCAACGGGCAACAGACCATGTCCTTGGCCATCCTCAGGGTCATTCGGCTTGTTCGGGTCTTCCGCATCTTCAAGCTCTCCCGCCACTCCAAGGGTCTCCAGATCCTGGGGAAAACCCTGCAGGCCAGCCTGAGGGAGCTGGGCCTGCTCATCTTCTTCCTCTTCATCGGTGTCATCCTCTTCTCCAGCGCTGTCTACTTCGCCGAGACGGACGACCCGGACTCGAGTTTCTCTAGCATCCCCGACGCCTTCTGGTGGGCAGTGGTCTCCATGACCACGGTGGGCTACGGGGACATGTACCCCATCACCATCGGCGGCAAGATCGTGGGGTCGTTGTGTGCTATCGCCGGCGTCCTGACCATCGCCCTGCCCGTGCCCGTCATCGTCTCCAACTTCAACTACTTCTACCACCGGGAGAACGAGCATGAGGACCAGGCTGAGTACCTGCATGTCAGCAGCAAGCAGCAGGCAGCTTCCCTGGGCCGCTTCAAGACGAGCAACCAGTCGCTGGACAAAAGCGAGAACTTGGAGGTAGAGGACAACGTGGACGCGCTGTTCCTGGATCCTGACCCATACCCCGGCTACACCCCGTCCAGACAGAAACCCCCAACCAAGAAAATATTCACTGATGTATGATCAAAAGCAGAGGAAAGGATGGGGAGAGGGTAACTCGAGTGTTGGGATCAGAGGAGAAGGGGGAAACTGAAACACAAACCGAGAAACCCTAAATCCAGTGTTTTCAGTCACATTAAAAGTAACATTATCTGATAGCCTCAAACCCATGGAAGCTAAATATTTTTGTACCAATACATGTGTGACAGAATCATATCTAGGCGAGGGAGGGAGGGGGAGCATCGAATTGAAAAACAAAAAAAAGTCTTCCTTTTTTCTTAGCTTTGCTGTCAACGTGTGTAGTCTACTTAACATTTTTTTCTGCGGTTTAATGCGACTTGCCCGCCATTTTTTTTTTTTCACTGGTCTTGACACATTTCACGAAAAGGTTAACCTTCAAAGTGTGTCATTTGTGTTGAACAAAAATGAACCGTACAGCATCTATTTTTTAAAAAGCCAACGGCTTCTGTCGCCCTCTTCCCCTCCTCTCGCTTCCTCTCCACTAATGGCGCATCAATTCATGGAGAGGGGAGGCATCTTTTCATGGGGGAGAATTTGGGGGATGGGGAGGGGGTTGATTTCTCCTGCCTGGGACCATGTCTCTCCGAGGGTTGGGTGAGGGGGTGTGGGGGGAGGGTGCTATTCACAACATCATGACCCTTCCAACGTCTCGACCTGCCCCTGAGGAGAAGGGCAAAAAAAAAGAGAAACGAGGGTTTTGAATTGTCAAAACAAAAGGCAAACGTTTGCAAAGGAAGCTGACGGGGGCGGAGGGGAAGAACCAAACAGCAATTAAATAGAGTGAAATGGAGAAAAGGACAACAAAAAAGTGCAAAATTACAAGCCGGAACAACACACGCAGCTGTTGCTATCTTCTGCAATCCTAGAAGTGAATAACCAAACAGGAAGCCATTTCCAGCATTCATCTGGCTCTTCATTTGATGCTGCGTCCAACACTTTTTATTACCATAGCCGAATCCATTTGATATAGAGTTCTCCCTCCGCCACTCTCTGAACTGTGGGTGCGAGGGGAGACTAAAAATCAGTTCGCGCGTTTGCTTATTCACCTCCATCAGCATTCGTGCGCTGCATCTCTGTTTAAACTCTCAACAGTTGAAAGAATGGGGACTGTTGGCTTCATGCGCAGGTGGATTTATGTTTACATTCGTGTCACAAATTATCCTCCTCCCTCGACCATAAACAGCAACAACCAGAGAGAAAAAACAACAACAAACAAGCATCTTTTTTTTCCCAAGTGCCTGTCTGAGAGGGAGAGATAAAGGAGACAAAATAAAGGACACGTGTGCGAGCCCAGGCTCAGACCGGGCTCTGGAAGTAGGGGCGCTGTTGCGGCGGGGAATACGCCAGCGCCGCCCCGCGGGACAATTTTCAGGAGCGTCGGCGGTTGCTATGTCAACCTTCTCGACTGTTCTCCAGTGTGACACTTTAATTTGCAGCATCGTCCTTTAAAAAGAGAGAGAGAGAGAGATATGTTCCACCAATGCACCGTTGCATTTCCCTTGGTTTGAGAATGGTTGGATGCTAAGAAGCGTTTAAGAATCATGCCAGAGCGACCGCAGCCCTGTGAATGAAGTTCCCTGTGCTCTCTGCATTTCGTGCACCGTTCGCTGTGCGAGCATTGACCCCTCAACCCCCTCCCCAAGGAAACAACAGGATCCAGCACTGAACTGCAGACATAGACAGTGCAAATGTCAATGCCTTTTCTTTTAAAGGTTGAGGGAACGAACGCACTTTGACCGCTGCACGATACCCAACTGAAATCACTGCAGGAAAGATTTATTTTTCGATTATAATCGGCGTTAAATAGAACAAAAAATATAGGAAAATCGGAATCCCTGTTTTGTTGATACGTGCCAAGGCCCGATCATTCGAGTGGTCGCGCCATATGACAATCCAAAATAGCCACATTGCCTTGGTGGTGGCGAAAACAAACTCAGGATCAACGGATTAATAACCGGATCCCGGGAGGGGGGCGGGGGGGGGGGGGGGGGGGGAAGGAAGGGGTTTGGAGGGGGAATCGTATCTTTGTTCAATTCAGACCAATTATCCGAGTTGGGCCGCTCCTTGGCAAGCAAGAGGCAACATTTTTATAGGTACTCCAAAATAGTCCCTAAAAAGCCAGGAGTGACAACCACCGCCGCGCCCCCACCCCCAACCAAACCCCTAGAATGAGTTACTGAAGTCCCTGTCAGACGAAGGGGTGAATGATCTTTCCTTTGATTCCATGAGGGCAGTAATAAGCCGCATCATTGTATTTGCGACTGGGGAATTTTGAAGGGACTGCTGCCGATTCCTTACGTGATTCCTCGCTGATCCAGGATGCCATCAAATGAGACATTGAACGACCTGCTTGGAATCCCCAAGTCTTGCTCTGTCAGCCTGTGAGGTTTAGGGAAAGGACTCATACCGCCTAACATCCTTGGAAGTCAGCCACACCGAAGGAAGGCAGGGTTCCTTCAAATCGGAAAACCCAAGATTCACAAAGGAAGGGACAGGGAGATCACGAATACAATGGACCTGACAGTTTGGAGAGAGGCACGGTATGAAAGGTGAGTGCTTTTACATTTAATCGTTTTTGTGTGTGTGTGTGTACACCTCCAGCACTTTAAAATTACGAAATGTTCTTTCAGCTGTGACTTTCTGAATGTTTCTCAGCCGCTGCGAGTGAGTGGCGACATTGCTGTTACCGGTGTGTGGTCTGTTTCAAACCACGAGGCAGCGATTGTAAATTTAAAGGCGGCTGTCTCGAGGGTGAAAGGCAGACCTTTTGTTTGTTCTCTGAGGGATGAACGTGTCAAACAACCCCTGTCTGCAAATGTTCCGCTTTACCACAGAGCTAACAATACTCCGAGTCCACCGCCTCTGCAAGGAGACCTGAGAACCGCTGCCATAGGCCAGCAACAGACCAATCAAACCCTGTCCAGTTCGTGCCGAGAAGCTCACCCTTTCGGTCCTGGAATGCGATAACTTGTACGGGAAAATGAAACAAGACTGTGGGGATTTAGTTTGTTTTGGAAATAACGGGGGGGGGGGGGGGGGTAGGGGGGGGGTCCTCAGGTTGCCCGCGTCCTTGCCCCCTTT